CCATTGCAGTATACCTCGATCTATGGTCGTCGTTTCCAAAGTTTTTGCGTTATAGCTTCGAATATAAAATGAAAAAGTATTTAGTGTTTTGTGCTTATAACAAAAAAACATAATTCGATCCGAATGTAGGCCGGTAGAATAAAACCATCAAGTTTATAGACGAATCGGATTTAAATGCTACAAACTGCATTTGTTGCTCAAATGACTTCGTATCTTACCTGTACAAGGGCTTCTGGTTTTGGCTGTTACTATATATCTTTGGAGTGGTTTCTCTGTCTCTGGAATGCCTGTGGCGGTGCTCCATTGAAGCGTGTTACGGATTTGTATTTGTTTACCCACACTTCGATATTTGTTCCTAAATTGTAACCACAAGCATTAAAGAACTGTTTGGAGATTACCGATCTTATAAATTGCTCCGATATATTTGATTATACTTATACTGCCTCTGTCGTTGCCGAAGGATACGTTATTTGTTTTACTCCAAAGAATTTGTTCATGCTACCAGATTTACATTCTGAATTGATTAGATTGGATTGCTGTTAGTTATTTGTGCATTCTAAAGTAGTTTTCTTGAATTTAACGTCACGTTTATGCTTATACATTATATTATCGTTTGTACGAGTAATCCGTGGTCGAGTCAAAATTTTGCTTTTGGTTAGTTATCGTAAATTGAATTATTGAGTATTAATTACGGCTTAGTATTCGATTGCTCGAGTATCAGACGTTATAGTAGGAGAGCTGGTGGACATTTTTGGGTAAGTACTTGAGGCACGCTGAAAACTTGTACACCACTTCTCCAATAATACCCAAACACTTGATAGTTGTTTCAGCGTTTTAACGTATGTCTGAAATTGATTCACAAATCAATGACATTATTTTTTTCAAATTTTGAAGGCCCCTGACAAAGTGTTAGCTCCGCCACTCCTCAGCCAGGTCTGCATTTCTGTGTTTGAGTATTATTGGAGAAGTGTTGGACAAGTTTTCAGCGTGCCTCAAATACCTACCTACCCAAAAATGTCTACCAGCTCTCGGACTATTAGCATTGCTTTCGCAATATTTTATGCGCCGCGCTATTCTGTTACGAATTAGGCAGAACGCGCCCTTCTGAATTCAGAAGGTCGTTATGACAAGAGTTTAAAGGTAATTTTTGTCTTCCTCGACTCCCTGATATAACGTTTGATTAGATATTGGTTTTCGATATAGTCGAATTGTAATTACTACTTTTGTTGAAGATTCATTAACGATTATAGTTCCGTTGTTTTCTGCGGAAGCCTGTTTTGAATTGTTGATCCCCTTTTTACTAAAAATTAAATTGAACTTAAATTTACTTTTTTTTTTCATTTTTAATATAATCACAATGAAATTGTTTAAGTTAAATGTGAAGCTGTACTATAATACCTTTACACCTAAGGGTAGAAAAGGTTTCATGATTATATATATATATATATATATATATATGTTGACATAGCAGATCTACAGGATGCCCAAGGATTGAGTGCACATAATGCGTATTTGACATTTTTTTTAGAGTTGGATCTTCAAGTTTTAAGGATCGCTCCTGCTTAGTCTCAAACTAAGATATTAAAGAAATTAGCCAAATCAATTAATACACAGGGTGTTTTTTTGCCGAATTCTAAAAATTAGTCAGGAGTAAACTGTCTTTACTTTAAGAGATATAATAAAAAACTATTAAAAAAAGTTGTTTAGAATTAAAAGTTATGGAAGACTTTCATACAAATCTTCCTGCTTTGATTTTTGTTACAAACGTAACTGGGTTCAAAGAAAATGCCGATGAAAGAAATCAAAGCAGGCTGATTTGTATGAAAATTGAAGGTCTTCTAAAACTTTTAATTCCAAACAACTTTTTTTAATAGATTTTTGTTATATTTGCTACAATAGACAGTTTACTCTTGACTAATTTTTAGAATTCGGAAAAAAACACCATGTATATTAATTGATTTGGCTCATTTTTACAATATCTGAGTTTGAGACCTAGCATACGAAATTCTAGCCGAAAGATTTGGTTCCAATCCGTTCAGCCGTGTAGCCGGAAATGAGAGTACAGACCGTTAGACAGAGCGACAGACACCTGGACAGACATAAATCGAGATTTTGTTTGATTTGGATTCCTGGTATTTCAAAACGTGTATTTCCGTCAAAAAAGCGGGAGGGGGGTCATTTTTTTACCCCAATGCAATACCTTCCTCACTAACGTACGAGTGGTAAAAAACACAAAAAGAATGATATCTATATTTGTCGACTCAATACATGGCCTAATAATTAGACCATGGACTCAATACAGACTTGAAAGTTTCAACGTGAAATAACCATAAACAGTAACTCAAAAAACTTTTTTCAAGTGCTTTAAAAAACCCCTAGTTTGATTTTTTAATCAAAATGTAAGAGAGTTATGACGAAAATAAGGTTAGACCCTACTTAAATGTGAAATTCGCCCCAAATTGAAGATAATGTAACCATACAAGTTTAACCAGGTTAAAGTCCTTAGTTTTGAAACAAAATTAGCTTGAAATGAAACGAAAATTTTTGCTTCAAAATAATTCAAAAATTATTGATAGACAAAACCTTTCTCTGAAATTTTTTTTCTGTAGGATAAAAATTGGGAATATGGCCGTTTGTATATGCTTGTAAATAGCACTTTGTTGAAGCTCTTTCAATGGAATGGAAATGAAAGAAAATGTTGTGACTGTTTTTTCCCTTCTGCTTCAACATTTAAAATTTACATTTCTTTAATATATTACTCGTATAAGCTCGCTGTAGGTATAGTTAGTTTTGTTGGTACAGTTATTCTCTGATAGTTCTTTGTTTTGCCGCTAGAGATCATGTACTTTTCTGTATTTTCCCTTTCTATTGATTTAAGCTTTCCCGTACGCGTTGCTTGTCGCTTGTTCCTTTAGAGAAGATTCTGCTTTCATAGCAGTTACTTGCTACCTGAAGAGGGATTTTTGTATTGGCTATTATATTATTTTCTTTAGAGGTTCTTCCTTTTTGGTGCAGTGGTTTGCTCCATTGAATATGCTTTTGCGTGTCTGTTTTACAATTGTTTTACGCTGAACTATGATACGACTTGGCATCATTTTAACACGTGTATTCTATTAGGGCTTTGTCTTTTCTCCCCATTCTCCTTTCATTATTTTCCTTCATTTCACTTATTATCTATCTGTATATTATTAGTACCTACTTCGGCATCCATTGTGGAATAAATCCCTACTCCTACCTGAATGATATTTTAAATGGACCCTCCATTTTAAGAGCGGCGACACCACTTGATATGTTACATTAACCTAATACAAAATTATTTACTGAAGACTTGAATTACTGTTCCTGATTTGTAACTGCAAGTATTACGATACCTTTTCGAGATTATGGCTATTGTGAATTGCTTCAGTGTTCTGATTTTACACACATTACTTTTTATCGGTCCGAAGCTTCGACACTACAATTTTATCTACGTTCCTTTTTGTCGTTCCGAAGACTCATTCATATTGGCTTGATTACGCAATAAATCGCGTTTAGTTCACGTGAGCTTTAACGTTTGATTGTATGTTCTCTTTCGATACAGCAGAATTCTAATTAATATATTATTTTTTTGTATTGGTCTCTTTTTTTCTGTAAATTACTCCTGAACTTAAATTTTGAGTAAGACTCATAAATTTTCTACTATTAGTTTTAACGATTGGAAACCAATAGTCTATATTTTTGAGTTCAATGTCCATCAACTTCAGTTATTCTTTGACTACAGTTATTGTTTATGTTCAACCCATTCAATTTCTTTACTCATTTTGATTCATCAATAAGACTGATATTGGAGAGATTCTTGGTATCCAGAGAAACATGCTTGAATACCCTTCTACAAATCTTTGAAAGCATTTTTCATAAAAAACAACGGAGCTGTAATTGTTAAATGACTATCAAATAAATGTAGTAATTACAATTCGATTGTATCAAAAACCAAGAATATGAAATCAAACGTTATATTAAGGAGACGGCGAAAATAAAAAAAAGGCCTTTTCAGATCAGAAGGGTGCTTTCTGCTTTATCTGTAACAGGAAACAACAACACAAACAAACAAACCTGAGGGATAGTCAATAACGCGACACAAAATATTGCGGCGTATCAACGTTTGACACTAATCAGGTAAATCGTATACTAAAACCATAATTAATACTCGATAAGAATCAATAATTCAAAAGACTTTACAGCAGCAAAAGCAAAATTTTGACTGGAACACGGATTGTCCGTACAAATCGGTGTACGGTGTAACGTGACGTTAATGTAAAGAAAATTAATTTACAATGCACAAATAACTAAATCTCTAAGCAACGGCAATGTAATCTAACTAATTTATAATGTAAATAAGATAGTATGAACAAATTCTTCGGAGTGACACAAGTAAGTAACTAAAAAACGTAAAAAACGAGAAACTTTGAGGGAACAATGAGGGAAGATAAAGCCTTAAAGTATTAAGAGTACTCCTGAAGCATAATCATAGATATCCCACACTAATAACTTGAAAAAATAAATCCGTTAAGTGTTATTCAATGCAGCACAGCCACAGCACATCAGAAATCGGGAGAAACCATGGCAGACATCTGGCACGACCTCTAGCGGCAAAAATAAAGAACTAATATAAATGAGACCTAAAACACTCGCATGGCCTCTAGCGGCGAAAATAAAAAAAACTAAAGTAATAACAAATCTACTGTAAAAATAACATAGATCTTAACTAAACGGGTTTACAAAGAAAATACCTAAGAACTTAAATGAGAGTATAAATCGAAGAGTTACTTAAATGGAATATAAAATTGGTAAGAAAAAGAGTTTTATTCTGATAACCTCGTCAGTTTTTGAAAGTGCTCATATAGGGTTAGCTTAAAATTTCAACGAACTACGTAAGTTTCAGACCCCAATTGCACGCTACTCGAGCTCTTTTCTGTAAAGCTTTCTTTTTGTTTTAATCGAAATTACAAAAGAAATCTGACCTTTCTCATGCAGAGCTGAGTATGTGGAACTCAGCCCGATCCACCTCTTGCCTTCAACATTGCGATCCGTTCCTTCCTACGCATGGGAGCACCCTGAAAGAATGGCATAGGTTAAAAAATTATTAATTTTTAGACGCACCTAATATAATCAACAAGTAAAAAGTGTTCTTCTAACTATAAGTCAAATCTCATGACCTAAATAAATACAGTGTGTCAATTTATTGGCCAGTGGGAATTAAGTGGAAGCATGCAGTACGTAAATGCGGAAAAGGTTTTCAAGAGATGTCACCTTTCACATGATTTAATCGCCATAAAAGGTTAAATGTTGCCTTCACTTGTGAATATCGGGGGTGATATTGTCGAAACTTTCAGCTCGATTGGGTTTGGGGAAAATATAATGTTCGAATGGATTTCGTTATACTAAATTGACTGATGATTTTAAACGTGGTCTAATGGATAAGTTTCATTAAAGCGATGTTTTTTTTGTTGAAATAATTGCATCTAATTTTTCCGAAACACTTACACCTAAAACTACCTGCTAATTATAGCTTTTAATATTGTAATGTATGACTCCTCGTAGTAACCTGCATTTTCCAATGCATAATACTGTGTGTATTGATAATGTGACGATGAAGGGGCGTGTTACCCCTGGATTGAATTATCTACTGTCAAAAAGTAATGGTCCTTTATCATCGTGTGTAATAGCCTTCTTTTTGTGTAGAGCATTAGACTTTATTGCCAACCACTGACTGATGATGATGACTATCTAACCCACTCATACAATGCCTAGTGAAAGTTCAAAGTCAAAATAAGTGGCCTTTCCTCGCCTTTGTAGAAACATGTGCGTGTTTCCCATCGCCATTTTGACCGCATTTTCAGATTTTAAAACAACTATGTACATAAATCAATCAACAGAATCTCTTGAATTATGAGTCCGATTGTCCAAATGAACTCGAATCTGATTACAGTTACCCAATATCAAAATTTACTGTAGCAGTCACAAAGGTTTTAGTCGGGGCTTTTTGATTTAAACTTTTATTTCTCAGCTTAATTGACGATGAGTGCCTACGTTATTTCGAAATTCGAAACGAGTTACAAACTTTCGAATGCTTTTTAAACTCAGGATCGCAGTTTTCAACTCATAGGATTTTTAGTATTTTATTAAAACTGAATTGTCAGCATTCCGATGAAAATTGCGAACACGTATGCTATGAATGGGTCAATTTCAGTTTCTAGATTGTAAAGGACATTCTGGTGGAATAACAACGGAAATAAATATGCAATTCGGTCCTTACTATATTTCGTAATTAATTTCTGTTAAAAGCAGTACAATTTTGTCAACCGATGCCTCAAATGTTCCTTAAAGCGAAGGTAACTTAAGTCATTGAGGTCGGTAGCAACATAAAGGAGAATCAGAAAATCCTTTGGTCCCCACATAATACACACAAAAGAATGGTATCAGTGAACTTTAAGCTCTACTTCATAATTAATGAGAAAAAATCAGCAAGATATTTAATTTGGGTTCGCTTATCATTCATAAAAAATATACAAATCTGTTTATTCTGTGGGTCGACCTCTTCAGGAATGTTAAATCAAGTTTGAGAAAAAATTGCTATCCAAAACCCCCAAAACGATCGACTACTGTTTTTATAGAATGCAAAAATTTCAAATAACTTCCACTTATCCATTCGGGTTTATCGAAATTTTGTAGTAGAAATGTAGGTTTATTCATTGGAATAATTTATCAATGTTCCGTAGCATGGAAATGATACTTATTTAATAGCTAGCAAGTGCACAAATTAATCGTCTAAACTTTTTACCGGTTTCCGTTTAAATTAGAATCTTATTATCGCTCCGTACGAACAAGAGAGTTAGTAAATTTGTTTATAGCTAGTAGCTAACCACTCCAGATATAAAGTGGGAAAATTATGAATGTACCCTTGAATGCTGTGTTAGTAGTGTAGTTGGTACCACTGAGAATGGGGGAATATCACTTTTGCTTTTGTCGTTGGAATGACAGATGAAAGAAATCTCGTGTTGAAAATCCAGAGGCATTAAGTTAAAATTGTCTGAAATATTTATATCTAAACGTATTTACGTGAATGAAAACCTGTTGTATGTTTTTGAGGTAAATTTTTGTTTCGTTATTTGGCTAACACGTTTCTTTTTAAGTTATGTCAAATGTTTTAATTTTATTTTTAATTGTCTACCTTCCTTTAACCTATATCGCAATCTGAAACACATTTATTAATAGGGTACGTAAGTTTGAATTAATTGGTATAGTAATTTTTGGATATATCTTTCGTGTAACCAGCACTAAAACAGTCCTATCAATGAAGTACCGTTCTCAATTTTTGGCTTGTGTACGCCTTATGCCGAAAACTATGAGCTTTGTATTAGTGTGTGACTGGAAAACTCGTTTCCCCTGGCTAACCGTGGCTAATTCCCTTTTCCTTCTCGAGCTTCGTTGCAAAATTTAAAAATTAACAAAATTCAAAAAGATTGAAACTAATTGCTCGAACTCACCTCCCCTAACTTTCATACTATAATGCAATGTTGATTAAAACCCAGATCTTACATTTCTCAAGGCCTCAGTGACGCTAGGCCATAATTCTTTGCCTTAATTCTCCAAATTTGTGTTGGGACACTTTGTATTTCTAGGATAACTTTCAGCAAAGGTTTAGAAAAATATTTCCAAGGAAGGTTTCTGTGACGACTAAGAGGTCGTAAGACTTAAAGCGTGTTCTAAAACCACTAGATTAAGATTAAGTAATGTTTTTGTGTATCTGCAAGTTTTTTAAGATTCCGTTAAAGTTTCTAATTTTGGAAAACCTTTGAAGAACGATTTTCTAGATACCTACCTTAATAAGCTTGTAGATAGGTTTCTAATAACCGACTTTTACTAACATAAAAAGATTTCAAAATAGTTTTATAAAGCATTTCCAAGAAGGTTATTCTCTACTACTAGCAATATTATCATATGTAGTTTCTGAGAACCAAAGAATATTTTAAACGCTTCCAAGACGTTTTTAAGAAAAACATTTTAGGATTCCTTTTCTAGATGGGTTTGAAAAAAGATTTCTAAAAATGTTTGTTGTAGAAAGGGACTAGTAATATTACCATAATAATAATAATAATAATAATAATATTTATTGATGTTTTACACATGGTGTTTACACAAGTCATTTTAAGTATGCAATGTAAGAGACAAACGAATATAATAAATTACAAACAAACAAATAATTATACAAACTATTCCATTATATCACAACATTTATTCGTCAAAAATTCTTCTAGTGAATAGAAAGCCTTTTTTATTAGATATGATTTAATTTTAGATTTAAAACCATTTCATTGCAATGTTTGAGAGCGGTGGGCAACATATTAAAAAATTTTATGGCTAAAAAATTAGGGCCGTACTGACTTTTTTTAAGACGTAAATAAGTAGGTACGTAATTATGCATATTTCGCGTATCGTAATTGTGAAAGTCCGAGTGGTATTTAAATTTTTGGCAATTACTTTTCATATAAATCATACAGGTATATATGTAAAGTGAGGGTAAGGTTAATATTTCCAAATCTGTGAAGGCTTGCCTGCAATCAGATTGATAGTCTAGGTTAGCCAATATTCTAACCACTCTTCTTTGTATTTTAAAGGTTCTAGATACACAGGAGCAGTGACCCCATATTAAAATACCATAATTCATTATGGCATGGAATAATCCGAAGTACGCAGTGCGCGTAACTTCCGGAAAAACATTGTTTGTTACGGAGTAAGAACACAGTTCTGTTCAGTTTTGAGGAGAGCTCGTCAATATGGCGTGTCCATGAAAGTGTGGAGTCCCGATAGACGCCTAGAAATTTCACCGGTTTTTGGTTAATTACATCAGTGTCCCTTCTCATCGTAAAAGTTAAAACTTCAGTTTTGTCTTCATTTAGAGACAACTTGTTCAAGTGGAACCAAGACTTGGACTGCCCTTGAAGATCTATACTTCTTATATTTGTTATTTCTAGACTAGAACCAGAGCTTAGTATTGTAGTGTCATCGGCATATAAAATGAAAGGACCATTAACTGTCGAAGGCAAGTCATTTATATAAATTAAGAAAAGCACAGGCCCTAAAATGGAACCTTGTGGAACACCAGACTGTGCACATATTTCTTTTGAGAATAAACCGTTATATCTAACAGTTTGAGAACGTTCTTCGAGATATGATTGCATGAGTTTAATGGAAATTTCATCAAAATTATATGCTTTCAACTTATTTAACAAGATCTGATGATTTACACAATGAAAAGCTTTGCTTAAATCTAGAAAAGTTGCTGTTGTATAATTATTTTCATTAAATGTATTTAAGATTGTACTAGATAGATCTACAAGGGCGTCCGTCGTTGACTTTTTTTATCTAAAACCGTATTGTGCATTATTAAAAATGTTATTGACCTCAAAATAATTAAGTATGCGATTTTTTAAGATCTTTTCAAAAATTTTTGAAAACATGGGAAGTATTGATATCGGCCTATAATTTGAAACATTCTCTTTGTCACCCTTTTTAAACAAAGGTAAAATTATAGACCGTTTCAATGTCTTTGGGAACGTCCCTTCCCTAAAACACTCATTAATTAACACTGTTAGTGGTAATACAATTAAATCCCTTAGACATTTTACAATTTCTGCAGAAAGATCATATATGTCTCGACATTTACTATTAGATAAAGACGTAATGGCGTCTCTTACCTCAATGATGCTTACTTCGTGCAAAAAAAATTTTAAGTGGGGAGCCGGATTATTAATCCGACTAAATGAGCTCGTGCTTAATGTTGCAGAAGAAGTAGAATTAATTCTGTTGGTGATTTTCGCTGGAATTTCTTTAAAATATGTATTAAACTCTTCAGGTGTTAGGTTCGATAGACTTTCCTGACGATTAGTATTTCTAGAAGAATCGATAATCGACCACATGGCCTTACTAGAATTTTTGGCATTGTTTATAAATGATTTGTTTGCACACATTTTTAGCTTTCCTTAGTTCAGTACGATATGTTTGTCTAAAATTATAACCTAACCTCGCTGGGACCACTAGAATGTTTTAAAAA